ACACAGATTGGTACTGGAACGTGTCAGGGGAAGAAGAACCCGCCAGTAACCCTGGGAAGGGGAACATTGCTAGTGACTGTGAGAACACTTGCTACCGCTTGAGCTACTTTCGATTGCTGCTGCCTTATAAGAGTGTGGACACTGAGCGGCTTTTAACTTTTGGTTTTATTTTTATAAATTTTATAAAAATTCATAAATGGAAAAATAAATTATAAATTATAACTTTAAACTTATAAATATAAATTAAAAAAACTTTGTAAATAAAAAACTTAAACAAAGATTTTATAAATTCCGGAGTCATGCTGATATTGCTCCTAAAATTATTGTATTTTATAGCATGCTTTTTTTTGAGGAGAGTTACATGGCGAAAAATTTGCAGAGTTCAGTGATCGCGCTGAATAAATTGATAGTTCGCGATGTACCCAGGAGTACAAAGTTGTTCTTTTTGGTAGCCGATGATCCATGCTTTGATTTATTTGTTGTGAGTTTTTCTTCCAAAGCAGTTGTCGAGCAATGGAAACAGATAATTGAAACATCCAAGCAGAATGCTCCGAAACGAGGTTTGTGCTGAGATTATTTTCGCCTGTTTTGTTTTAATAATCAAGAAAATAGTGGTAGTTTTCTTTGGTTATTCTAAAATCAGATCTCGATTCAGTTGGATGTGCAAAACTCATATTGTTCTACAGTTGCCAGAAATTTGCAAAGGCTTCTTGCTATGAAAGCGTAAAAAACTAAATCGTCTTTGCCTCGAGCGCTAAAGTAATCCTTTTTATGCGTTTTTTGCAGCTGTGCAATGCAAAGACGCATAATGACGAGAGCTTGTCTGTGTGTACGTTTGTCACGCACTTTCATCTCAAGACCTATAAAAGCTGCAGGAATGAAATTTCGGGAACTTAATCTACATGCATGTGTCGACGCCGGTCCCCAAAATGGGCGCCATCACCCGAGTACGGGCCCGCCAAAGTTTTTTTGGGGCAAGTTTATAAATCGGGGATCTGAGAAGCTAGAACGCTGAAATCTTAGGGGGGATGTTCCCCAGCCAAGTAGGTTTTAATGCACTGAAACCCATCCCCCGAGTAAGCGTGGTACCCGCGTACTGGCCCACCAAAATTTTTTTCGAGTAAGTTCATAACTCGGGGACCTGAGAAGCCAAAACGCTGAAATCTTGGGGGAATGTTCCCTGTCCAAGTGGATAACGAGTTCAAATCCTGCCCGCGGATAAGCATGTTACCTACGTGTGGGCCCGTGAAAGTTTCTTCCGGGTAAGTTGCTAACTCGAGAACGTGAGAAGCTAGAAAACTGGAATTTT